CTCTTCAAAAAGTTTATGGAAATTTATATGATGAAAAACTTATGCACATATTGGTGTTGGCCGCATAGCCTAGTGTTTAAGATAAGTTGGATCCCACATGTTGACCATGGTTTGGATCCTGGTCCCAGCAGTTTGAACAAACACTCCAGGTGTGTATGCATGCATGTACCAGATCCCTGAAGGCTGGAGAAATGGAGGCAATGGGATTGTGGTATGACCATGGCCCACTGGGGAGTCCTTTCTACTCACTCCTTCTCACTCTGTCCCTCTCTGGTGGGTGCATGTGCCTTCTGGCAATTAAAAATAAAAAAAGAAAGAAAAGAGAAGAATAGTGTGACACTGAGGCTTGCTTTGATGTGAGAACTTCAAACATGCACTGTAATGTTTCCTGGGACCAGCAGTTAGTGTACTGGCTATGTTGCTGAACTCCCATGTAGTCGACTGCGGTTCGAGTCCCAGACTGGTGGCTTAAACTCACATGGGGCATGCCCAAGATCCCGAGAGGAGAATGGAGGAGAAGGGATTGTGGCCTGTCCATCCCCCCGGGGGGTGATTTCTCACTTTCTATCTCTCTGTCTCTGTCTTTCTGGTGAGCACATGCACCCTATAGTAAAAACCTCTCAAAATAAATAAATAAATAAAAAGTTTCCTCAAAGTCTTTTCTTGCAGCTCCTCACCAGTGCTCTCAGCATCCTTACTACAGCTGGTCTATGGTCTGGGTCTGCCAAGTGTCCCTTCCTCCTTCCTCTTCCTCTGGTCACAAAACATCTCTTCCTCTAGGAGCACCTGTGTCTCAATTCTGTGTTGATCCTGGCACTTCACTAGCTCTCCCTTAGGGGTGGGTATAAAATCATGTTTGTCAATTGAGACAAGCTTGATGTATCAGGTCCTTTATCAGGACCAACATGAATGCGGAGAGACACAGGCTGTCTTGAGGGGTGTCCTTGCTCCCCTGAGGCTGCCAGGATACCATAATGAGGAGAGAATCTCCCTGAGAATGGAGCTAATACAGAGAAAAATGGTGTTAAAGATAGAACTGCATAAAGAAGGCCAGGTGGTGGTGCATGGGGGGGTGTGGTCAGACCCACCTGGAAGGGGTCCTGGATTTGAGTCCTAGGATCTCCCTGAACTTCCTGAGTATTCCCAGGAGTGCTCCCACGTGCCCATGATCCAGGCTGGCTGGGAGAGGGGATGGATTGTGGCATGGGGGTCTTGCTGGAGGTGTCTCTCTTTCTCAGAAGAAATAAAGGAAACAGAAAGAACTATATGGAGAAAAGGGAGTGAGGAGGGGGAAAATATGACATTTGAATCCCAATCACATTGGCTCCAGCAACATTGTTCCTCTCTTATTTAGATCTATTTTATCCCCAATTAGAGAGAGGATTGTCACAAATATTTGTTGTTCTCAGGAATTCATTATAGTGTTTCTCTCCCCTTTCTCTTGATTGGGTTTGGTGGCATGGGCTCTCAGCTTGATAAGGCTGAGACCCATTTTTAAAAGTACCTAGCAATGTTCTTCTAGCATTGTCTGCTTCTAACTAGACTTAGCATTGTAATACTTTCCTAAAATCTTCGATGCATTTTCCTTATTTTGTAAGTGATATTTTTCACTTTTTTTGAAAAATTAAATTTTGGCACTATCAATCCCTCTGAGGGGACTTCAAAAAGTTCATGGAAAAACCCAGAATTAAAGTATGAGTTAATTTTGGTGCAAAGAAACTGTGAAACCCAGGCACAGTTTTATCATACTATGTATTTTCCAGGAACTCTTTAAAGAAGGCTTCCCAGCCTGTATTCCCGCTGTATAATCTTTCCATAAACATGGTCTATGTCGCCCTTTTGAAGCTTCAAGAAGCCCCCTCGCCCTCCCCCTTCCAGATGTCTTCCAGCTCCCACCTGTGCGACACTGTGCCCTAGGGAGTTGATGGGAAGGCATTATTAAAGCTCAATTGCTGATTGGCAGGTGGTGTGGTGGTCAAGGTACCGGATTTCCACATGGTTGACTATGGTTCAAGTCCCAGACCTGACAGCTTGCTTTTACACTCTCTCTCTCTCTCTCAACAACTGGAGAATAATAATAAATAAATAAAATTAATAAATAATTTTTTAATTAAAAAAAAAGCTCAATTGCTCATATGGGCGGAAAGTCTATGGGAGCAGGTCAACTAAATGGCCCAGGGTTACCTGGAGTTGGGGTGTGGAGAGAAACAAAGCGCTCCCCAGGTCTCTCCAGCTGCACCGAAGCAAATGGCCTAGAAGGGAGCCCAAGCCTTGGGAGCGTAACCGGGTGCGGCTGGCGTCCCGAAGCTCTGGCTCCTGGGCTATCCAGTCCTCGGGGCGTCCTGTGTTCAGGTCGAACCCCGGGCTCGGCTCCCCCCCGGGCTCGGCTCCTAGCCGGTGGGGCCCAAGAGAAAATAAACGCTCGGGTGCGGCGGGGCGGAGCGGTGGGTGGCGCGCTGGCGGAGCAGAGTCCCGCCTGCGGGCGGAGTCCGGGGCGGAGCACGCTGTCATCTGACTCGCTGACTCCCCCGCCCCGCTTCGTCCCCCTGGTACAGCGGGAAGTCAGGTTCGGAGGCTTCGGCTCTGCAGACCCATCTGGAGCAGCGAGGGGCCATGGAGCAGCGCCTACCGTCGCCGCGCCGTCCCCGCCACCTGGGGCTGCCGCTGCTGCTGGCTTTGGGGACCCAGGCCCTGTGCGCCTCGGCCCAGCCCGGGGGGGTACTGTGGCCCTTGCCGCTGATGGTGCGCACGACCCCGCTCCTGCTGCGTCTGGCTCCCGAGAGCTTCTACATCGGCCACGGCCCCAATTCCACGGCCGGGCCCTCCTGCGCCCTGCTGCAGGAGGCATTTCGGCGGTGAGCGTCCCCAGGCCGGAGAGGAGGGGACCCGGGGACTAGAGGGTGGGAGAAACCGACCGCCCTGGGGCGCTGTGCAGACTCTTGCACCGCCCCATTTCACAGACAGGAGGTCTTGGAGAGGGCTCCTGACAGAGCGGCAGGACGCGAGATGGCAGGGCAGGTTCAAACGAACTCCTGGCACCCAAGCTTCTCCCTTCTCCTTCCTTTCTCCCAGGGGACACCTCGGGTTTGGGAGCAGGATACTAAGTGGAAGTAGGTTGCTCAGCCTCAGTTTCTTTGCCCCAGCAGGGCAAATGATATGGATGGAAACCCCACCACCACCACCTACCCCCCACTCCAGAGTTGGGGAGGGAAGCGACAGCCTCATATTTGAAGGGATTTCTAAGGGACAGTGAAACCATCTGGTAGGGTTCAGGCAAGCTTGCAGTGAGGGACCCGGGATTCTCCAGAGAGGACTGTCCTCTACAGGCCTGTCTCGCCCCCTCTCATTCCCCAAATCACCTGGTAACAATTCAGTGCGGGAAAACTCTCCTTGCCTTCCAAAGTCTGTTGCGGGGAAAACTCCCCTTGCCTTCCGAAGTCTCTGTTCCATGTAAAATTTGGCTGTTTAAATCTCACACCTTTTACAGGCCAGTCCCCAGCCAGTATCTGCTGGCCTTCTGTTTCCCAGCACCAGTCATATGCTTGTTCCTCTTGCTTCCTCTTTTACAGACCCCTAAAACCTTTGAGTCACTTAGCAACGCTGGCACATGTCCATGGCCCTCCCCTCTCCCACCCCACCGGCTAGCTTTGCTAACCACATGGTAGACAAGGCAGGTTGCACTTGGGGGGCTGTATGAGTGTGCCACACAGAGCTCTCAGTGTGCAGGCCTGTGTAGGAGGGACTGTACTGAAGAAGTGTAGTGCCCTGAGGGATTAGAGGGGCTAGCTCACTGCCTGGCCTAGCCCCGTGTTCTGTCTCTGTGCCCTTCTAGTTTAATTGAGCCTCCAGGACACCCAACAGCTGACTTACTTGACAATCTGTTCTGACCCGAGGTAGGCCTAGTGCTTAGGCTCAGGCTAGAGAGGCCCAAGATGGCGATGGCAAAGATGGTTCATACTTTTGTTTGGTTTTGTACGATAAATGGATATTGATTTACACACATACACTAACGAACCTTTAGAGTTGAACCCACTAATGGCTCAGAAAGCAAGAGTGGGGTAAAGACATGTCAAAGTAATTGACTGCCTTGGGATACGCAGGATTGCAGAGAAAGTACTTAAAGGTCATCTGAAAGAAGTTTACGACTAGGACTGGAAATTGTTTAAAGCAAACATTTTGAATCCTGTACCCAACAGCTTGAAAATGATGCCAGGTGTTTGTGTGTGCGTGCCCCAAATCCCGAGAGAATGGAGAAGGGATTGTGGGGTGGCTGTCTCCCCTGGGGGATGATTTCTCACTTTTCCTCTCTGTCTCTCTCCAGTGAGCGCCCACACCCTTTAGCAAAAACCTAAAAACAAGAACGTCCACACCACATTACCATGGGCTCAGCTTGTAATACGGAATTTTCCTTCCGTGTCATACTGTCACTGGGGTGAGGGTCTCTCAGGTTCTTGACTTGGTCACAGGAAAGAATTCAAGCATGAGTCAGACAGCAGAGCAAGTTTTTTGAGGAAAAGTGTGAATCTAGTCCACTGTCAGAGAGGACTGCTCCAGAGAGAGGGGCAGTACTGGGTGCCTTTGGGGTCTTCCCTTTTTCGGAGGTTTACACCTGTGTTCATAAAGGGGTTAAATTGCTAGGGGTGACCTTGAGCATCTCTCACTTGTGCACATGTTCTCTAGCCGAACATGCTTGGACATAGGTAATCTGCATCATTAGCATGTAAGATCTCCTCCCATGGGTGTTTCTTAGCCTGCTAATGAAGCAGGGGTCTATCCCAGGTCATCTAAGGGACTCCTGAGCATGCCTAACCATGAAGCTCCTATACATCTCGGCAGACAGGGTCTTTAGTCCCCATGAAGTTTTCTTATTATGGTTGGTCTGATTGCTTTTTGCCTCCCTCTGTCTCTTATCTGTCTACTGTTTTTTTTTTCTTTTTCTTTTCAATTGCCCAAGGGCATGTGCACTCATAGGAGAGAAATAGAAAGAGAGGAAGAAATCACCCCACAGGGAGAATGACCATGCTCCAATCCCATCTCCTCCATTCTCCTCTTGGAATTGTGGTCACGCACTCATGCATGCTTGATGTGTTTTTCAAGCTACCAGGTCTAGGACTCAAACTGCACAGTTGGCCATATGGGATCCAGTGCCTTAACCTCCATGCCATCTACTGGTCCCTCAGTCTACTCTTTTGTGAAGTTTTGTTCTCAGGGTTGGCCTGGGTTTCAGTCTCCCACCTTTAATTTCCTGTCTCAATACTACTAATAAAATAAGGGCATGGCAGTACACTAAAGCGATCTGAGATGCCAAGAAGTATGAGTGGCGTAAGTTAATGATGGTGGGGTAATCAGGACTTGAATTAGCTATGAGCTGGCTTGAAAACAAGGCTTGGCATTCCAACACAGATAGAGGTAATTACCTGGAGTTGGCCTAATAGCTCGTGGCCTGTGTGAAAAGTCCTATTAATTACAGCTGGCCTTGTACAGGTGTAGGCTGTAAAACATCAGCCCTATGGCTAAGACTGGAAAGCATGTGGGTGAGCATTCTAGGAACTCAGGAGGGCCAGTGTGTATGGGGTTGGAAGACTCTGGAGGTAACAGAGAAGTTCAGAAGGTTCAGAGTGGTTTCCAACACACACAGCTTAAGCCCTCAGATTATTCAGTCATGTGGTTTCTGTCTCTGAAGAGCTCACATTATATTAGAAACCCTGCTATGAGGGAGAGACAGAGAAAAAGAGATGTATGGAGAGAGGCATTCTCAGCAGGTCCTCAGGCCACCATCCAACCCCATTCTCTGCCAGCTAGGACCACAGATATGCACACACGGTTAGTGGGTACAGGGAGACTCCAGGCCACAAACCTGGCACCTTCCCGTATGGCCTCTACATCAAGTGCTGTGTTTCCGCTGAGCCGCCGCCACTGAGGCAGAGTTTGGCTGTTAGGTGTGTGGCTGCCTCCTCAGCTTCTAGAACAGGGACTATCACATGCTAGTCAGTTGTTTTTTTTTTTTTTTTTTTTAATAAAGGAAAGGTTTTACATCTTCAGTTCCTGGAAAACTAAATCATTCAAATATCTTGGGCATTAGTGCCTCAGAGCCCTCTGATTTTCCTGTTAGAATTGTACTTATCCAAGGCCAAGTTTTCCTTATGAAGGACAAGCCAGTACTGAAGTCAAATCTCAAAGCTGTTGGCCACTTTAATTTATTTTAATTTATATGCTAAAATACATATAACATAAGATTTACCATCTTAACCTTTTTTAAGTATACACTTCAGTGGTCTTAATTTCCTTTTTAATCTGTCAAGGTTTTTCTGTGAGAAAAGCCAACACCTTCATCCATTCTGTGCTCGCACTGGTTAACTTCGCCTCACTTCCAAACTCATCAGGACTCTCGTACCTCTCCTTACTTCTTTGGAAAAGCACAAGACATTCTTACACATAAGTAGTGTGCTGGTTTATCAAAATCTATAACATATTATTTAAACAACTACTCTGAGACCTATCCAATGTCTTATTCTTTCACACTTTCACGCTTCTATTTAATACTGATAATTGAATGCCAACAGAAAGTGAATTATAAAGACTCTCGTGATAGTTCTGTGGGCTTCTTTTTTTGTGCTCATGTATGAGCTAGGATACTTTTGTAGGAATATAACAAGAACCCTGACTCAATCTGGCTTAAGCTGTAAGCAATTTTCTCTCACACTTTAGGAAGTCCATCGGGCATCCATATGCTTTCCATGTCTGCTCCGCCATCTTTACTGTGGCTGCAACTGATCTGTTGGCTTGTTGGGAAAGTCATGGCATTTTTGCATAGAAAAACAGAAAAACATATTTCATGACTTTCCCGACGACCTAACAGATATCATGTACAGTGAAACAAAGCATTCTTGTGGTATGCTTAGAAGAGGAACCTCCCACCCTTCCCTCTCCTCTCAACTGGCCCCTTCCCCTACCCCTGCCACACATACCTTTGCTGGTCAGAAGGGGTTTTCACACCCAAGAATGACAGAGTACCATAGTAGGTTTGATTGCTGATTCTTTTTTTTTTTAAAAAAAATTTTTTTTGGAGAGATTTTTGCTATAGGGTGCGTGCGCTCGCCAGACAGACAGAGAGAGACATAGAGACAGAAAGCGAGAAATCACCCCCCGGGGGGATGGTCACGCCGCAATCCCTTCTCCTCCATTCTCCTCTCGGGATCTTGGGCACGCACACACACATGCCCAGCGTGAGTTTAAGTCACAGGGTCCGGGACTCGAACCGTGGTCGACTACGTGGGAGTCCAGCGACATAGCTATTACACTAACTGCTGGCCCCATTGATTGCTGATTCTTAACAGAGGCTTCAGATGAGTCACTTGGGAGCATGGCAAGGAGTGGGGCTTTTATTTATTTAACAAAGTTTATCTCTTCTATAAACGAGAAACGCGTGGGGGGCATCCCCAACAGGGTTCTGATACTATTATCTGCCCCTAGCCTTAAGCTAGCCCTGTATCACGGGCAAGCATGCAGCTGGTCTACTCATGGAAGTCTCTGGATTTGAACCAGAAATTTTCTCATATGGGATTTCCTCGTGGGGCTTAGCATTTTACCACTGTGCCACCCTCTAGCCCTGAAGAGAGCTTTTAAAATTCCTATGCTTGGGGACGACAAATGGTGTAATGGTTATATTGCTGGACTTCCACATGGCCAACCATGGTTCGAGTCCGAAAGGCTTGAAACTCACTCCTGGCATGTGTGTATGCATGCCCAAAATCCCAAGAGGAGATGGAGGAAAAGGGATTAGGGTGTGATCATCCTCCGTGGGGGGTGATTTCTCGCTTTCTCTCTCTCTCTCTCTGTCTCCCTGGTGAGCACACATGCCCTTTAGCAAAAATCTTTCTTAAAAAAAATTTCCTATCCTTGGGCCCTATTCTCAAGGTTTCTGATTCTGAAGGTCTGTACATCAGGATTTTCAAAAAGCTTCCCAAGCGATTCTAATGTAGAGCCTGGGGTGAGACTCTAGTTGAACTAGTGATGGGCGGCATGGATTTGAGAAGCCCTACAGTGTATACCAGCTTGTATGGATGTAAAATTTGGCTGAAATGCTTTTAAAGTTTATTTAAATTTATTTCTCACACAGATATTATGACTATATTTTTGGTTCCTACAAGCAGCGTCAAGGCCCTGCTAAATATCGGAATGACCCACAGTTACAGCAACTTCTCGTTTCCATTGTCCTCGAGTCAGAGTGTGATGCTTTCCCCAGTGTGACGTCAGATGAGTCCTGTAAGTACCTGTGTAATGTCAACGTATTGTAATCAAAGCTGCTTATTAACACACTTAAGAATCAGGAACAGGCTCCGTGCCATGACCCACTGTGAGTTCTTGGCCAGTGAGTCTGTAATTCCTATTTTAAAAATAACCTGTCAAGTCAGACTACAAAAGTAATACATTGTCATTGTAGAAAATCTGTAAGTATGAGTGCCAAAGATGAAATCACTTATAGCCCCAGCACTCTGAATTAACCAACTATTTCAGGTATACATATATATGCACACACATACATATATATGTATTTTTTCAGGGTAAAATAGTTCATATGTTTTACATATAGAAATGTAAACATATAAACATTGACATGGGAATGGGAATAACTCTGTACATGTGGATTCTGCTTTTTGTATTTTTGTAGTTTTTTCCTTATAATACATTATAGATGTTATAGATTTCACTATTCTTCTGTAATATCATTTTTTTTAGAGGTTTTTGCTATAGGGTGCATGCAGACAGAGACAGAGAGACAGAAGGTGAGAAATTGCCCCCTGGGAGGATGGCCACGCCACAATCCCTTCTCCTCCATTCTCCTCTCAGGATCTTAGGCATGCATGCATACATGCCCGACGTGAGTTTAAGCTACTGGTCCGGGACTCGAACCGCGGTCAACTACATGGGAGTCCAGGGACATAGCCATTATGCCAACTGCTGGTCTACTGTGATACCATTCTTAATGACTGATTAATGTTTTACCACTGTGTGGGGGTGCTTACTTGGCTAATCCCTTACATCTGGGTCATTTCTTAACAGTCTTTATCTTTGAAGACAAATCTACATTTATACACATGAACTCTATAATCTATTATAACTTTACACAAAGATAAAGCAGAACTCGGGGGTGGGGCTGGGTAGAGAGAGCTGTTTCATTTGATTGACAATATAATCAACATGTAGCTATTTGATTTTGTCATTGTCGCCTAACATATTATTTTGTAGGGCTTTTCCCCAAATGGTTTAGAAAGTATAAAACAACATACCTTTTCTTCAGGGTGTACTGGCTGAGAATAATGTGGAATTGCACCAGGGATCACAGGGGGGCACTGGGAGGCATGTGTACTGTGCGATTAGGTAAGAGAGACAGACCGAGGAGTTGGGTGTTAGGAAAGAATGACACATATTTAGAGAAAAGAGCAATTCTTCTGTCCTTGGACTGCCTCATAGACAGTTCAGTACCTGTCTTTATCCTCCATGAAAAGCTGAGATTTCGTAATAATACACCCCTTTGAAAAGTAGTTTCACTTCTCTCCAATTCTGTACTTGTTCTTGCATGAGAAAAAGAATAATTTATCAACATAGGCCATGTGATTTCAGTCGATATGCAGAACCCAGATGCTGTGTAAAGTAGGTTTTACAATCTGAACCGAGACAGAAATGGCTATTAAGTTGACAAGGAATCTTTGCTACCTAGTATATTAGCTTTAGCAATATAGATGACATATTAGAAATTCCAGAAAATGGGAAGTATTGAGACTGGACAGTCATAGTTTATCTTTCAGTCAGCTCTGTAAAACCTCTTTATGCTGAAAAAGAAGCTTCTTGAGACAAGGTGTTATGAAATTTTTTGATTGAAGGATAAACTAGTTTTAAGTCTTTAAACTTGCTGAGGATGATGATAAAAGTCATGCATCTGAATGGAAGTCAGCTATTGAATGTGCCTAGTGTGAAGAACAGTTGGAGGAAATGACACATATTAAAGCACTATCCATTAAATATTAAAACATATACCTTGAGAACCGGAAGTGGAAAATCTCTACTGTAGAGAAGCAGTTACATACATCGAGGATGTCCAGTGTGTTTTCCTGTCATAGTGAAGAATTATAAACAAAACTAGATGCCCGCCAATAGAGGAATGGTGAAATAGAGCCTGTCAATCCACACTGAAGAGCACTATACAACAGATAAGAATAAAGAAGCAGTGTTAGGGACCAGCAGTTAGTGTAATGGCTATGTCGCTGGACTCCCAAGCAGTCGACTGTGGTTTGAGTCCTGGACCCGGTGGCTTAAACTCACGCCAGGCGCGTGTGCGTGCATGCCCAAGATCCTGACAGGAGAATGGAGGAGAAGAGATTGTGGTGTGGCCATCCCCCCGGGGGGTGATTTCTCACTTTCTGTCTCTCTCTTTCTGGCGAGCACACATGCCCTATAGCAAAAAACCTCTCAAAAAAAAAGAAAAAAAGAAGCAGTGTTATAAAGAACAGACCCAGATCTTGCTAAGGTAAACTGCTGAGTTGGACAAGGAAGTTGTATAATAATGTATGGAGGAGGATGCCATTTATATGTATCAAAATACATGCAGAAACACACATGTAGAGCAAGTCTGTATTTTCTCTTTATATGCACATGTATTGTAGATACCTAGAAGGAAGATAGAGTTAGGTGGGCATCTCAAAGGGGATTTTAGCCTCATCTATAATATTTTATTATTTTGGGAATATTTTGGTATTTGTAGATATACCTTTCCAGACCAAAGTATGGTGTAAAAAGGCACAGAAGGGGGTAACTGAAAAGCCAATGATACCACTCCTGTCCCGCATCAGGGAAGTGATCATCAACACTAATAATCTGGTTTGAAATAAAAACTGAAAACTTACCATTTTGTTCATATATTTAGACAATCAAGGCATTTCCTAATTGATAAATGCTTTTTCCCCATTAAATTGACTTAAAATCCTTTTTAATATTAGTCAGTCCTCAGCTATAGGAAAATAATCAGCATCTGGTATATCAAACATGTTAATGCTTTTAGATAACTGGAAGACCTCAAAAATTTTTTAAGAATTATTAATTTTGGGAACCAGCAGTTAGCGTAATGGCTGTGTTGCTGGACTCCCACGTAGTTGACCATGGTTCGCGTCCTGGACCTGGTGGCTTAAAACTCACACCGGGCGCGTGTGTGTGTGTGCCCAAGATCCCGAGAGGAGAATGGAGGAGAAAGGATTGCGGCGTGACCATCCCCCTTGGGGGGTGATTTCTCGCTTTCTGTCTCTAATGTCTGTCTCTGTCTGTCTGGCGAGCGCACGCGCCCTATAGTGAAAATCTCTCCAAAAAAATAAAAATAACAAAATAAAAGAATTATTAATTTTAATTTAATTTTATTAATTCATTTTCTTTAATTTGACCAGAGAGAGACACAGGGAGAGAGAGGGGAGAAATGAGAAAACAAGCTACCAGGTCCAGGATTCGAACTGTGGTTGGAAATGTGGAAGTGTCCAGTGCCTTAATCACCACACCACCTACTGGCCTCAGGACCTTAAAATTTTAATATGGCAAAAGCATTTTAAAAATATTGATCAATGGAACTTTTCTGGAAGATGTCAAAACAACAGTATGGTGACTGGTGTGGTGGTGAAGTGCTAGACTCCCACATAGCTGACTGTGGTTTGAGTCCTGGGCCTGGCAGCTTGCTTTCTCATTTTCCCTTTCTCTGCCTCTCTGTGATCAAATTTTAAAAAATAATAATAAAATAATATTAACAGATAAAATTAAATAATTCTAAAAAAAAAATCTTAAGGGGCTGGCAGGTGGCATGGTGGTTAAGGGTGCTGGACTCCCACATGGCTGACTGTACTTTAAGTCCTAGACCTGGCACCTGGTAGCTTGCTTTCTCACTTTCTCTCTCCCTCTCTCTCCCCTCTCCATCTCTGTTCAAATAAATAAATAAATAAATAAAGTTAACATTTTTTTTGAAAAAAGAAAAAAAAATCTTCAAAGCTATATGGCAAAAAAATGTCTTTTAAATAGTGACCTATGGAATGATGAGCTCTAGGTAGCTGATTAAGAGTTGGATATAGACAGAGAAGAAACATGGTAAGATTGTACTCATAACCGCAGTGGAGTTCTAGCTTGGTTAGCCGACTCAGCACTGTGGTCTTCTGACGGAAGATGTGATCTTGTCAGAAGACTGTCACCTGAGACAGTCACATGATTCACAGAGCTCTTTTTCCTACTTACAGCCACTATCCTGACAGTTGGGGTGGTGGTATGGAGGGTGCTGTGCAAGTCCAGAAGATACAGCATTAAATCATTAACCTGCAAGCCCTTGAGTACTTTTATTATGACAAAGTACACACCTGTCATGTGCTATAGCTTTCAACTCTGTTGACGTCTCTCTCTACTAAGACTGTAGGCAGAGGACGATCTTAAAAGTGAAAGATTAGCCCCTCCTTGCCCAGAAGCAGCCAACTGAAGCCCCAGTGTAGATGAGTGTAAACTTTTCTTAAAAGAATTATATAACCTTATTATTTTTTAGAATTGTTTTATTTAACTTTATTTATTTATTTACTTACTTTAACTTGACCAGAGAGGGACAGAGCAAGAGAGAGAAAGAGAAAGTAAGAAAGAAAGCTGCCAGGTCTGGGACTCAAACTGCAGTCAGCCATGTGAGAGTCCAGTGCCCCCAACCACCATGCCACCTGCTGGCCCCATTATTAATATTTTTTTGGGGGGGAGATTTTTGCTATAGGGTGTGTGCTCTCACCAGAGAGACAAGAGAAAGAGAGATAGAAAGTGAGAAATAAACCCCTAGGGAGGATGGTCATGCTGCAATCCCTTCTACTCTATTCTCCTCTCAGGATTTTTGGGCATGCATGCAGATGTGCCCAGGTCAACAGGTCCAGGATTCGAACCATGGTCGACTGTGGGAGTCCAGCAATGTAAACACTATGCCATCTGCTGGTTCCTTCTGTTATTTTTAAAAATTCACCAGAGAAAGACAGAGACAGAGAGAAGGAAAGTGAGAAAGCAAGCTGCCAAGTCTGGGACTCGAACCACAGTCAGCCACATGGGAGTCTAGCACCTTAACCACCACACCACCTGCTGGTCCCTGGTGTAAACTTTTGACTGAGTAGGGCAGAGTGAATTAAATTTATTGTGTGGGGAGAAGCTGAATTAAGCCAAAGAGAATTAGGGAGAAAGACTTCAGACAGAATTCAGAAAATACCAAGGGAAGAGAAGGTAGGTATAGGGCAAGCAGAAAAACCAAGAAGGAAAAAGTGACGGTAACTCTGTGGCCTCAGGGGGAGTAGATTTGAGTGATACCTGAGGTGTCACCAAGGAATTGTGGTCACTGGAGGAATGTTGTATTCTTGAACTAAAATTAAGGAGCCTGTTCTATTCAGGCAGGTGGAGAGAATACTTCTTCTGGTGGGGAAGATGAGGAATTAGAGATGGCACCCACAGTAGCTCAGCGATCTGGGTGGCAGCTTGTGTCTCACTGAAATGAGGAACACAGAGACAGGCAGGTTGAGGTGCATGGCTCTGGGCATGTGGAGTTGAAGGGGCCTACACAAAATCTTAGTGAAAATCATAGGAGACAGCCGGAGAAACAGTCTGGTGCTCAGGAGGGAAAATGGTCCAAGAAAACCAATGATGTTTAGGAAATGTATTGTGTGTTGATAAATTAACAAACAAGTGTGTTATTGTTCTTCCCCGCAATTCAGATAGTATAATCGTGAAAGAACCCGTGGCTTTCCTCAAGGCCAACAGAGTTTGGGGAGCCTTACGAGGTAAGTTCTTTGTTATCTTCTGGTAAAGGAGTATTTTCAGTTGATGCTCTGTGAAATCAAGCACGAAACTTTGCTGCCTTGACCCTTTACAGAATGCTTTGTTGAACAGTTCCAAAATGACTTCCATTAAACACATACCGAAGTCTGGGAGGAACCTCATTTGGCCTTTTAAGGACAGTCGGGGTTATTATGTTTCTAGGGGGCTGCAATTCATGGATGCCCGTGGGACTGTCATGTTTCTAGAGCTGGATCCGCCCAGCCTGAGCTGATTAGGGGTTTTTGTTTTA